AGCTGAGACCAAGCTTCCTCTTGCCCTTGTCCTCTTAGCTACAGCTCTGAGCATGAGATGACATAATGCTGCACCATTCCAAATGTGGCCCTAGGAAGTGCACAGCACAATCTTCCCCTTTGTTCCTCGGGAAAATAAGTTGCTGCAGCCATCTTGTTCTCATCTTGAGCAGCTCAGCTCTGCTATCTGATATTAGTGATATCATGGCTGATCTTTGTCCACTAGTTATCTTGCATTCTTACTCCCATTCTACCTTCTAGATGGGTAACATAGGCCTACTGCACACAGAGCTGAAGATCTACTCATGTGCCCATGACATGGAGCTTGAATAACTCATATTCCCATACAGGCCCAACAAAAAAGGACATAATGTGGAATGTGGAGGTGAGGGCAAAAATTGCAAAACAGGAAAGCTAAAGCAGTCAGCCTAATTCAAACATCTAATCAAGTTACTGGAAATAGATGGGGCGGGGGGAGGGAGAAGGAAATACATGCGCCACAACTTTGCTACCGCAGTTTTAATGAGTTCCCTCTTTGCATTCCATCTCACAACTTTTGAATTCCTGAACATTTGATTTATACCTTGACTCTGCTATCTGTTGCTGAGCATCAGTCGTGCTGGTTTTTAATGAATGTCATGTCATACTCATGCAAATGCGGTGGTATAAAATGTGACACACTGCTCTTAGGATCTAGCTCGGCTGGTGTTGCTCATGTGACTCCCCAAGTGGACAGCATCTATTATTCTGGTGAGAGGTTTGGATGTCATAAATATTACCTTTTCCAAATGAGAGCTACTTTTTCCTTTCTCTGTCTTTTGTCTAAAATGTTGTTCCGAGTCCTTATCTTGTAAAACACAGGAGCAGCAGATACCTAATGAAACAGGAGGAATGTGTCAAGGGCAAAAGGTGAGATGAACTAGATAAAATCTTGTTAATGAGGAGATAATAGTATTCAGGAGAAGGCTGAGAAAGAAGAGAAAGAAGGTTGAAAAATTAACACTTTTCTCACCTTATCTAGTAACTTCTAAATATTACCTGGGTTTGTTTTTCCTTGCTTTCCTTTTTTTTTTTTAATTTAGTGTGTCATTCTTTCAATACAGGGTTTGAAAGGCAGAAGGCAAGGATTTAAGGTATGGTTGTCGCATGCAGACTAACTGAGTATGTCAGGCATAAGCTTTTGTAAGGAACTAATATCTGGTGCAACTTCTGCCTGACTTCAGACTAACAAGGCTAACTACCTTTCTCTGCTCAAGGTTTGAAAGAACCATATTGTATACTACTTATTCATGTTATTTTTATTTACTTATGAGATTTAACCTAGGCATACAATAGGACAACATGAAAAGGGAGTTTTCACCCACATTTCTAAGGAATACACAACTGGACATTTCCAATTGTCATTTAAATACCAGGCAGTTAGGCAATCTGCATTTGATCTATCTGTCAGCACCAAATTTAGTTTATTTTGAGGAACTGGAAAACATTTCTAATAACAGATCACTTTTGAGAAAAGCAGTAGTTCTCAACATGTTCTGCTCCAGGCCTCTCAAAGACAGGCCCTTCTGTTTCTTTTACGTGCCCACCCTCCAATTTCTCCTCTAACCTGGACCTATGTAAGACTCTGTCTGCTTCTGCATTATTAGAAAGACAAGGATTTTACATTTACCAATGCTTAGTTTGCTAGTCTGAGATGGGTGAAACAAGCCTGTTGTTTTCCAGAGAAATTTTATTGAAAAAAAACTATATGTTGTTTTCATCAGGTTTTGTTTACCAAATGAATAAAATGAAAAAAAAAATATTTTATAGTTCTCAAAATCTGTATGTAGTGACAATAAAATTCATTGTATGGCATTTTTTCATTGTTGAAAACTGAAAAATTTGGTGATAAAGTTTTGAGATTTAGATTTTCAATGCCAGCCCCCTCCCCCCAATGTCACCAATATTTTTTCCATAAAAAAAATAACACCCATGAAAAGCTCTTTTATACCTTTTTTTTTGCCAAGTTTGAAGAGACCCTGTGTTCTAAAGGAACAGTGATCTCTAACTCGATAGCATAAGTACCATGGTAATCAGGGTCAGGAAAACTCAGATGCTTGCTAACTCCATTTTAAGGTCTGCACTTCAAGACCCATTTTTATAACTGTAGAGAAGCTGGATAGCAGCCTTGTTGGTGGGGGACAGACTAAAAAAGACCCTGCCCCCATACAGTAGACTTTTCCACATCCCACAAACTCTACACTGCATACTAAAGTCATTCTCTAAAAGTGCCTCTCAACTCTGTACTGATGCAGGTAGTATGCATGGGACTTTGCTTCTTGTCTTACTGTAGCACTGCATGGAAACTTCACAGTTATTTTATATGAGCCTAATATTGGCTGCATGACTAACTTCATGACTCAGACTGTTTTAATATATAACAGCTACCACTTGCAGGATCCTACTGTCTTCCAACTCTACGAAGACATGTTAACAATTCTAATTTTAACTTTTATTCTATGGCAGGGGTTGTAAACCAGGGGTATGCATACCCAGGAGCATATGGAGCAGGAGCAGGGGCAGGGCAAGGCCAGGGCAGCAGTGCCCCTCTCCAGGCTGCACAGGCACCACCAACTGGTTGGACATGGGGGTGGGCGGGGAAGGTTGTATGTGGCAGCTGCTGCCACCACCATCCACCACCCTGCATTGCTGCCACTCTGCATGCAGCTGCATGCCACCCCCTGGCCTCCCACTCCATGTCTGGCCGCCAGGGGTACACTTATTAAAAAAATGTTGAAAACCCCTGCCCTATGGCCATGGTGTTCTTCCGCTGCAGGAAAACCAGATAAAATAGTCCCACTAGTATATTGCTACTGTGGTAGGTATAACGTTACTTGCTGTTATTCATTTATAGGATTGTTGCCATAATGAGTTCCTTAATAAAGGTTGCCAAGCTGGCTAATGGGAAATTAAACAACCTTTCATTCCATTTAGAAAATTGCTTGTAGCTCCTATTGCAATGCCTGTGAAACAATAGTAATGAGTGAAAAAAAGAGTAAATCTGTATCTAGAACATTTTAATTAAAACTAAAATCATAAAAAGTTCAGATTATACCCAGACCCTTTCTCCAGCTCTGTACTGCATCAAATAAAGAACCTTCTTCTTAGGTACAACTTTTAGGAATTAACCTTTTGCCATTTTTTTTTATTATGAGAACAGCAACACATTCCCCTTCTTATTCTAGCATTCCCACAAATGTCCTAAAGACATGTGCATCAGCCTTGGAATGATTAAACCAATTTGGGTCTGTACCTTGTGCCTACTGCTGTGAAAAGTTAACCTGGCATTAACTTTGATATGAATTGGATCATCCCTAAGGCAAATACCATGTATTTTATCATGAAATACTTTGGGACAATGTCAAGGAACATATCAGTCATTGAAAAAAAAAGTTTTGTAGATATATGCATTGTACATGATACCACTTTCTGGCCATGTCTACATGAGATGCTGACTGCACAGTTGTTATGGCACGGTTATTTCGTATTTGTATAAACAAATACTAAGTGACTGTACAGTAACCTGAATTACTGTGCAATAGCACCAACAAATATATTTTTTGTAATGCTACTGCACAGTAGCCTAATACTACTGCGCAGTAGCATTGTATCACAGTTGTTGCCATGTGATGCTACCTGCACAGTAGTATTGAGCTACTGTGCTGTAAGCATCTTATGTAGACATGGCCTCTGGTATTGCATATCCTGATGTAGAGTTGGGAGTTGGCATTAATGAGTGTATCTACATGTGTAATTAATTTGAAGCAATAAGCTCTAGAGCAGTTTGAGCCAAAGTAATCTACTTCTTGGTGCAGCATTTAAATGTTCACCCAGAACAGCAGCAATTTGAGCCAAGGCAGAGCCATTTACACCTTGCCACGCAGCCCCAGGCTCCAGGTGGTGGTGGTATTGGGTGGCGGAGGGACTGGCTGGGGCATGAGGGTGCTGAAAGTGTGGAACCATGTGGCTAAGTGATAGGCAGAAGTTTGACCCCTCACTGTTTGGGCTGACTGGGTGCTATTTATGCCTGCAGTCAGCATCTACACATGTCTAATTACAATTAATTACCCAGCCTAAGACAATACTGTCCCTGAGAGTACTATTTTACTGCAGTGTTAATTAGTTAACTTCAGCTTAATACCTTCACACGTGTAGACAGTGACACTTTACTCCACAGCTAATTAGTCTGCTCCACAGTTAAATGAATGTGCAGATGTAGTCAATATGTCAGTGTTAGCTCTTTTTTGATTTGCAGTAGGATAAACACTACACAGCTTATAATGGTTTTGAGTCACTCAGGTATCATTTTGCCTGAGCAAAGTATTTTATATTGTGAGACACACATGTCCCTCTTTGTTGAATGTGCTCCCTATTGAAGTCAACATAGAGTAAGAAGCAGTGAGGGAAGATGGAAGTTGTTACAGGATGAGCAGAGAAGGCCCCCCACCCCCGCACTGAAATGGAGAGCAGGTATCTTACTGCAAACTCACCAGGACCCCTGAGCTGGATCTGGATTGTGGAGCTCCATGAGAGTGGTAATGAGGGGTCCAATGGTGGACGTGAAAAGGGATCAGGAGAGCAAGTCCAGACACAGCAGTGGTGAGCCAAGTTTGCTGTGGATGGCCTTGCCCATAGTAGCTAAATAGCCCTGGATTCTTTGGCAGATCATGCCCCACAACTGCTGGTGGCTTGTCAGTAGCTCAGCAGGTTGGATAGAGAAGCTCTCTGGGCTGGATCTGGCCTCTTGGGCTATGTTTGACACCCTTGCCTTACTTAAAAGGGAGGAGAATGATCTGGTCCCTTCAAAACATTTCCTCTTAAACATCATTGCTTTGGTTTTGCCTGGGGTGAATGTGAGTCAGCTGATTCTCATCCAGGACCCAATCTGCAGGCATTGTTACATCCTTATGATGACAAAGGGTGTTGAGCCAACAGTGTTTCTCCATCTCTCCAAGGAGTTTCACACTGATATTGAAGAGGAGGGGAGACATGATTCATTGCTGTTAAACTACATAGGGGGCATTTAGAGAAGAGGAAGAGCTGACCACTGAAACTTTTCATTTTGTTGAAGAACCATTGCATTATACTGGAGTGTAATGGTATTATGGAGCTGTCTGCCTCAGCTACATAAGGTCAGTGGCAACCCTTAGTCTGTTGTGTTAAATGCTACAGCCAAGTCTCAGAACTCATCCATTAGTTCACTCCCACTACATCTCCCTCTATACATTTTTTTCTGGTGGGAAGGCAAATCATAAAGCATTCAAGGTATCAGGTACCCTTGGAGTTGGATTACCCATACTTTCTCATGGATTTTTCCTGCCAGTGAGAGGCTTCAGACATGGAGAAAGCTGGAGAGTTTTTTGATATCTGGTTTTGGCTTTTTGAGGCTTCTCTGAAGTTTGTTTTTGTTGGGGTTTTTTTGAAATTCACTTCTCTAAAGAAAGCACTGGATAGTTCTGTTAGTAGTTATTAATATTTGGCTTTCTTCAGTGAAGACGGGTATAGGTCTGTTTTACAGTTTAAGCTTTCTTCTTAAGATTCAACATGTATGAGAGGCCTACATGTTTAGGGGTATTCATTGTAGCGGTGTTGGTCTAAGGACATAGGCAGACAAGGTATTTGGGTTAATCCAATATATTTTATTAGTTGGTTTAATAAAAGATATCAGATTTACCCAAAAAACTTTATTCGGGTTACATTTTGTCATCCAACATGGAGGGGATGTAGGTTAACATAATCTCTTCTAGGACAGAGGGTTTTTTGCCCTGTTAATTTTATTATTTTTTGCTGTGTATTATTTATTTATTATATATTCAGCAAATCTGTTCTGCAAATGACAATATCTGCAGCACTGATGTTTGGATTGTGTAATCCATGTTGATTAGATGGTTTGCTGTTCAGAATAACTCTGACAGCTGAAACATTGTGACTGCAAATAGAAGAGAAAGCAACACTCTTTATCTTGGATAGAGAGGCACTGTAGTCCTGCAGGCGATATTTGTGCTTCAGGCAGATGGATTTAAGGTGGGTTTGCAGCTACATAGTTGTGGTGGTGAGATGCCCCTACAGGCTCCAGAAGGGGAGGGGGCAGTCCCTGTGGGCCCCAAGCCCCACAAGTAGCCCCCCCCCCCCCCCCCCCGGCGCAGCACACCTCCGGGACAGCTGAGGCCGGGGCAGGAGTCGGGGCCGTGGCTGTGCGAGCCAGCATTATCCCAGCTGTTTAATCTGCTGTTCCCTGGGTGGGTAAAAGTGGAGCCAATCACGGCAGCTGGAGCAGCCACCGCAGGAAGATTTAAAAGCCCCACTGGGGCCCAGGAGGAGGAGAGAGAGGGAACACACCAGTTGGAGCACACCAGGCGTGGTGAGGCTCCTGTGGTGGGCAGGAGCATTGTAGCCATCAGTGCTGGCATCTTGAGCCAGGGGGAGTTGAGCCCCTGTAAAAAGGCTGGGAGGGAGGAGGCAGTTCGACCCCCCCCACCTCCTGTCCAGTGACCTATTTAGTGAGGAGTAATTAGAGGCATCCTGCCCAAAGGTGGTAAGGAGGACACCAGCCTAGGGAAGCTACCTCGTCAGCATCCGAGGCAGAGACACTAGCCGTTGTGTCAGCTGCGCTAGCCCACCAGGACCCACACTGACGCTGGTCCCCCTGGTGAAAGGGGTCGATGGGACATGGCCGCACCACACAGGTGGCACATTTCATTGTCGAGTGGATGGGGTGTAGGGAAGGCAGAGCTAAAAGTAACGTCGCACCAAGACAGTGAGTACTACTGTCCCCGGGGTCCCCCAGGAAGAGGAACTCCACTGAAACCCTGCCTTTCATCCAGTAACATCATCATGGCAGGCAAGTTGAGGGGAGGGGCCCCATGCCAGATGGATAGTACTTCACCCAACATAGACCCCACCTAAAGCACCCTCTTCCACAGTGGTGCATTGGCTGGGTACCTTAACATTAACAGGATAGAAGTCCCGACCCAGGTCAAGCAGATATGTAGCTGCTGGCGATAGCCCATGCAGAGATACTAACATAGGCCATCCAGGCTATAGGGCAGGTGTTAGAAGTGCAGCAGCTACAGGGGGCACACCGGCAGGAATAGGTGCAGTGTAATGCCACCTTATTTAAGATGCCGTGTGTGACATGGGAAGATGATCCTGAGGCATATATAGAGGCATTTGTGAGGACTGCCATCCAGACAGGGTTGGATCGCAGTCAATGGGCCCATCAGTTAGGCGCCCTGTTGATTGACCAGGCCCAAGCCGCTTATTGGGCCCTGTCAAGGGAGGACGCACAAGATTATGATACTGTGAAGGCAAAGATCCTCCACAGACTCGAGATCTCCCCAGAGAGCTACAGACAGGCATTCCGAGTACATAAGCCAAAAGAAGCCAAGCAACCCCAGGGTTTGCTGCAATACCTGTGGGACACGCTTAATAAATTGCTATTGGCAGGCTGGTTCAAGCAGGAGGTGGTCATTGACCAGGTCTTATTGGAACAATTCCTCGGGACCTGGAGGAAGAAACCCAGGTGTGGGTGCACAGACATCAGCCCCAGACCAGTGAGGTGGCCCTCAGAAGATGAGCGTGGGCTGAGATGAGGTTCCCGGGCCCCAGTGGGAAGCACGGCCAGAGAAGAAGAGAGGTGAATCAGTCCACAGAAGGGGGCATCAAGGGGTGTCGTTTGCTATCATTGTGGATGAACCAGACATATTGCCAGGGAATGTGGTCTGAACCTGAGCAAACTGGGCCGCAGACTGGCTGCATCCACTCCACCCCATGAGAGCAGAAAAGAGGTATAGAGAGGGGAGCCCATGGACTGTAGCTTTGGGGGTGTTGCACATGAGGGAGGATGGGACCGCCCCGCTGTGACTGCTTGGATTGGGGATAAGGTGGTAAGGGCAACCCTGGACATAGGATGCTCCCAGTCTCTACTCTGAGTGGACCTAGCCCCATGGATCAGGGTAAAGGAAGCTGGGCCCTTGATGATGATTTATATATTGGCTGGCTAGATGTGCTTCTGGAGCTGCTACCTTCCGTTGAAGGCGATGGAGTTCCGCGGGAAACTGTGGGTCGGATTGGTTCCAGCCCTGGCCTGCGACATGATCCTCCACAGACTGTTCTACATGGTACTGGAACGGGTATGAGCAACTGAGGAGGAAAGGATGCGACTCAGAAGGGGAGAGGAGTGGGCTGGTGAAAGCTCACCTCACCAGAAGGAAGCGACTCAAGGCAGTATAGACCTAGAACAGGTGGTCAGCATGACGCACTTTCACCAGGCCCAACGAGAAGATCCAGAACTCCAATGGCTCTGGACAGAGGACCCTGGGGAAGGAACATCCCAGAATCACTCCAGCTTTGAGGTAATCGGGGGGCTGCTATATTGTGTCCACCAGGGTGAGGAGGGCACAACAGAAAGGTGACAGTTAGTGGTCCCGTCCTTGCTCCATTGCTCCATTTGGAGATTGGCCCATGACTCCCCGTTAGGGGGTCATTTAGGACATACCAAGACCTGGGCGAGGCTAGTTCAAGAATTCTTTTGGCCATGTCTGCAGGAAGACATGGAAAGATGGGGAGCAGCCTGCCCAGAATGCCAGAGGGCCCAGGAATGGAGACCACAGAGGGCACCATTGCACCCAATGCCTGTAATAGAGACGCCGTTCTCCCAAGTCGTGCTTGACATTGTGGGCCCCTTCCAAAATCACACAGTGGTTACCTATATGTATTGGTTTTAGTGGACTGTGCCACAGGATTCCCAGAGGCGGTCCCACTCAGATCCATTACGGCAACTCATGTGGTGGAGGAGCTACTTAAACAGATAGCGAGGGTAGGCATACCATGTGAGATACTCACTGACCAGGGGACAAATTTGATATCCGGGGTGATGAAAACATTTTGTAATACCCTCGGCATGACCCACTTAAAAACGTTGGTTTACCACCTGCAGATGAATGGTTTGGTCAAAGGCTAAATGGAACAATCAAGAGGTTGCTCAGGCGGTGTTCTCAGGAAGACCCCTGAAGATAGGATACCATATTAGTGCTGTTATTGTTTGCTCCGAGGGATGCCCCCCAGGAGTTGACATAATATGCCTCATTCCAGCTAGTATATGGCCACAGCCCCAGAGGGCTGTTACAGATCATCCGGGAGGAATGGGAGTGACCAGTGGGGTTAGGAACATTGGCAGAGAGGTACCAACAGGAACTACAGGACCGGATCCACAAGGTGCAGCGGATTACTTGCCAAAACCTGAGAGCCACACAAGAACAACAGGAGGCCCTGTACAATAGAAAGACAAGAACCCAAACATTCCATCCAGGGGACATGGTTTTGGTCTTGCTTCCCAGATCAGTGAGCAAGCACCTCACGATGTAGCAAGGGCCATTTAGGGTGGTCTGTCAAGTAGGGCCAGTGGATTATGGAGTGCTCAAGCAAGGACACCATCGCGAGCATCAAATTTATCATGTAAACCTCCTTAAAGAGTGGAAGAACCTGCAGGGCTGGCCAGCACAAGAAGAAGAGGCAGTGGAAAAACTGGGACCTCTCTGCCTAGAGTTAGGTGAATCCATAACAAAGGATTCAGTGCAATTAGAAGATCTGGACAGCAAGCAATGACAGGAATTGATAGAAGTAGTAGAGGCCTTCCGGGAAGTGTTCCAGGAAACCCCAGGGTGGGCACAGGGGATTGAGCATGAGATCAGAAAACTCCGCCTGGTGCGCTAGTCAGGGAAAGATGGAGGCTGATACCCCAACGATGGCAGCAAGAAATACAACAGGAGTTTGAAAAAATGTGAAAACAGAATTATCTGGCCATCCGGAAGCCCTTGGTGCAGCCCCATTGTACCAGTGGGCAAACCAGATGAGTCACTCTGCTTCTGCATAGACTTCAGAAAATTAAATGCTTTAACGACTTTTGACACCTTCCCCATGCTGCACATTGCCCACCTCATTGAGAGAATCGGGGAAGCCCAGTACATATCTACCCTCGACCTTGCTGACAAGGTCCCGATTACTGGTTGCTGGCAAATCCCGATGCAACCCGCAGATAGCGTCAAGACCACTTTTGGGACCCCTTGGGGTTATTTGAATTTGTGTGGATGCCCTTTGGGTTGAATGGCGTGGCAGCCACCTTTCAGAGGCTTATGGACACCCTACTTGCGCCACATGCATCGTATGTGGCAGCCTATTTAGATGACATCATCATCTTCACTCCCGATTGGCACCAACACCTCGAAGCCCTAAGGGCAGTCTTGGGAGAGCTTTGAACGGCGGGTTTGACTCCCAATCCAAAGAAGTGTAAACTAGCGGGACTAGAGATGTCGTACCTGGGGTTTTGGGTAGTCTGGGGAACCTTCCGCCCCTTGGCAGACAATGTGAAGGCCATATGGCAATTCTAGGAACCACGCCCCCGTAAACAACTTTGCTCCTTCTTGGGGCTCACCAATTATTACCGGCGGTTCATACCACATTTCAAAGGCCTCTCCGCACCCCTCACAGATGCGCTCAAAGGGAGACAAGCAGTGGTGCTAAAGTGGACACCGCAAATGAGAGAGAGCTTCGAGGAACCGAAGGAGATGATACACTGTGACGTTGTGGTACACACCCCTGACTTTTCTGCTCTTTTTATATTGCAGACAGATGCATCGAGCAATGCCTTAGGGGCTGTGCTGCTGCAAAGATATGAGAAAGATGAGTGCCCGATCGCCTTCACCAGCCGTAAACTCAGCCGTGCCAAAACCAGGTATGCCATGATCGAAAGGGAGTGCCTGGCAATATGCTGGGCAATAGAATATTTTAAGTATTACTTGATGGGATGGGAATTCCTGGTGGTTACAGATCATGCCCCACTGCAATGGCTAACCAGGAAACAATGTGAAAATGCCCATATTACTCAGTGGGCTCTGGCGTTACAACCCTTTAAGTTTACGGTAGTGCACCACCTCGGCAAAGATAATTTTGTAGTGGATTTCCTCTCTAGATGTGGTAGCCCAGGCAAATCAGCTGAGGAAGCATGCCACGCTCATGAGGAGGAACACCAGGCTCTTCAGGAAGCCATACGAGGGGTCCAGATGCCACAAGGCAACTTAAGGGGGGAGGTCTGTGGTGGTGAGACGCCCCCATAGGCTCCCAAAGGAGAGGGAGCAGTCCCTGCAGGTCCCAACCCCCACAAGCAGCACCCCCGCTGGGGAAACCTACCTCTGGGGACGCAGCCAGAGCAGGAGCAGGAGCCGTGGCCGCAGCCGCAGCTGTGTGAGCCGGCATTATGCCGGCTGTTTAATCAGCTGTTACCCGGGCGGGGAAAAACACAACTAATCGCGGTGGCCAGAGCAGCTGCTGTGGGAAGATTTAAAAGCCCCACCAGGGCCCAGGAGGAGGAGAGAGAGGGAACATACCGGCATAGAGCACACCAGGCGTGGTGAGGCTCCTGTGGCAGGCAGGAGAATTGCAGCTGGCTCAGTGCCGGCATCTTGAGCCAGGAGAAGGTGAGCCCCTGTAAAAAGGCTGGGAGATAGGAGACAGTTGGACCTACCCTCCTCCTGTCCAGTGACCTATTTAGTGAGGAGCAATTAGAGGTGTCCTGCCAAAAGGTGGCACTCGCCACGCTGACGCTGGTCCCCCTGGTGAAAGGGGTTGATGGGACATGGCCGCACCACGCAGGTGGCACCCATTTGGTTGGCGAGTGGATGGGGTGTAGGGGAGGTGGAGCCCCATGGAACATCGAGCCAAGACCGTGATTACTACCGTCCCCGGGGTCCCCCAGGAAGAGGATCTCCACTAAACCTCTCCCTTTCATCCAGTAACATCAAGTCATGGTAGGTGAGTTGAGGGGAGGGGCCCCATGGCAGATGGATAGTACATCACCCAACATAGACCCCACCTAAGGTGCCCTCTTCCACAGTAGTCTTCTCCCTAGGAGCTTCATATCCCACTGTTTATTAGTTAGCTATGCTGCTCTTCTCAGTCCATGTGGTGGAACAGGGGAACATCACTGATTTTAACTACACTGCTTGAATACTTCATTGGTGGACTGGATGGGTAGTTGAATACTTTTCTTCCTGAGGACACCCAGCTTCCTCAAAGTAATGGAACTGCTACTTACCACAATATCTTGCTTTCTGTGGCTGAAGACAGACACAGCTACAACCCCATCTTTCTCTGGTTGCTACAGCCAGTTTTGCAAATTCACATTCAGGACTGAGGTTTACCATCTGCTGGTCAGCATGAGCCCTATGAAAGGAAATGAAATAACTATGGAATGTTTTCTGCCTATTCTACTATAGAATGTGTTGGGAAACTTAACCTTATAGCTTAAAAATTGGATTCTATATAGTTTTCATCTAAGGGACTAGACTCAATGACCTAAAAGTTTGCTTCCAATCCTGTGTTTCATTCAATATCTTTTGGTATTTTTTTTCCCCTTTCAGATGATAAATTCAGTTGCAAGAGCTTGCTAGAGGGACAATGCCATCTTTTGAGATTTCATTTTTTTTTTTTTAATTATGATTCTGGATAGGAACAAAAACTCCTTTGAACATTTTTGGGAAATGGGACTGCTAAAAAAAAGAAAAAAAACCTCTTTTGCATTGAAAAGGTCAGATTTTTTAAATCTCTCTTCTCTCCTCCCTCCCCGCTCCCCTTTTAAATTGACCAGAATGTCCTCCTTTCAGAAATCTTTCCAATGAAATATTTGTCAAAACAGATGCATGTTTGTGAATCTTTTCACAACATATTTCTACCAAAGGCATTTATTGCAAATGTTCTGACCAGATCTGTCAATCACCGTGTGAAGTTAACAATGTAACACAGTGGTTTAAATCTATCCTTGTCCCTGAGAGAAACTGAAGTTCAAATATAGTTCATCGAACAACTTGACACTTCTAACCCGCATGGTTATAATCCTCATAGTTTTAATAGTGGAAAACTCTTAACCCAGCAAGTGTCTTTTCCCAGTGGTAACTGTAATTCCTGACAATATTAGAGTACTCTGCTAAATGGGTTATTTTATTACGTAGGGTCTGGCAAAATTGAGACACTGCTCAGTCTTATAACTCCTCTAAAAATGAGAACTATTGGAAATATGCAGTAAGTGAAGCATGAGTTAAAGCAAACCCATTTATTAACACTCCACAAGTTTCTGTTAATGAAAAAATAAGCACATTTCCTTATATTTGCTATAGTTTTAAAATATCTTGATCACATTTTATATTAAGGGTCCATTTATAAATTCTTTATGTGGTTCAATAATTGATAGAGTGATTTACAGCAGTCTTGATAATAAATGCATGCATGTGAAATACATTACGTTAACAATATCTGCTGAAAATATGTTTTGTAATTGTAGCAGTTTGTCAGTGCATCATCTGTTAAGTACTTATTACCAAAACATTAAAATTGTTTCTTTGATAGAGGACTTGCTATTGTCTGGAATGGCTAACTATCCATCACAAGAGTGCTTAGTTTAGTGTGTATAAGTGGGACTCAGGGCATGTATGCATATCTGGGTCTCTGTGCCAGAGAGCTGAGTTTAACATGCCCTTAGATGGTACATATTCAGTGGATTGTTATCACAAACATAGGAGCAGGTTCTCACAAATTTGTTGCGGTTGCAAAGAGGAGCTATATATGAAAACATCTGCCTTCGCTGAGCTACAAAAGGACTTTCAAAACAACAGTCCTTTTGTTCCGATTATCCCTGCCCCTCCTGGTGGGTGGGGTGAGGAGGGCACACAATGTGCAGAGGGAGAAAAGAAGAGGCAGAAAGAGAGAGACACCGCCTAGCCTTGTTTTTTTTATAGATCTGCAAAGTAGAGTGAGGGTGCTGGGGTGAGCAATTTGTGCCAGATTAATTGCTGATTGGATGTATACCTCTCGCTCATGATGCAGCTTCACTAGGGAAGATATTCTTCTCATGCTGCAGTGTAAGCTTGCTTTGTCCCTACATAGGGTAGTAATAGTAATGTTGAGCTCTAGCACAAAATTTTGCAACAGTGGCAAACTCAGAGCTGATTGAAGGAAGTGTTTTATTTTGTTTCCCCGTGTATTGTACCATTAGGCTTTGGAGCTCATTGCCACAAGATATAGTTGTGTCAAGAGCCTTACAATTTTGAAATATAGCTGGGCCTTCCTATGGATCAGGATAATCTGCAAATCTAATAGTAAATGTTACAGAACAACAAGAACTTTGGAATAGGATCAAAACATGATTAACCCTCTAATTACCCAGGATTGCAAGGACCTTACACTATAATTGCCCTCTGAAAGGTTTCCTGGACCTTCCTCTGAAAAACTCAGCTGGTCACTGTCAGAAACAGGATACATGACTAAATTGTTCATGGGTCTGCTGCACACTGGTAGCTAAGTTATCCATAGCCCATGACTTCAGACAGCATTTTACATATAATAATAATTCATTTTACTTTGCCGTGCCTCTATTAGAAGACAATCTGCCTCTGTAGCCACAAGGGCAATGTCTAATATACCTAAAACAGCTTGTTGAGGAAGAACATCTTGGAGATCATCATCAATTTCAACCATAAAAGAAGAAACAAACAGCTATCGGCAATACATAGTCGCAGTGAAGGCTGTAATCGAAAAGATATTTCCAATTATAATTATAATTCCATTGCAATTTAATTATCTAATTCATCATCATCATGTTCAGACCGAGCAGGTTTTTTCTAAAGCCAATCTGAAACAGAACATCTGTTTTTCTCCATTTTACACATTACAATTTTTTTTCCTATCCAACCTTATTCAATATCTGTACTAGGAAAGAAAATCCCAGAGATGCCATGACAGAATTCACAGCATTTTTCCTCTATTATTTTAGAGGAAGAAAAAAAATCAAATGTACATATTAAAGAAAAGTTAATGTAGGATTCTTAATTAATGGATAGTTAGGGCAGATTTTAACCCAGGAACTCCCATGTAGGGTGTGGGGGGTAAGCCACTCTGGGTTAGCTTCCAGTTACTGCGGGGAAAAAGCATGCCCACAGAGAATTACCACAAAGTAGTGGAAGCATGGTAAAGTCTTACCCTCCTTGTTTGCAGTAAAGTGATCATGTATCCATACTTTTGGGTACCCGAAGGAAGCGGTTGGATTTTCAAAAATCCAGACCCTGGATGCAGGATTCTCAGTGATTGTGAAAATCTGGCTTTATGTAATACAATGTTTTAACCAGTTTATGACTGACGGTGAAGTTATACGTTATATTTAGGCTGTGCTAAATCTGTGGAATGTTAAATGGTATTAAAGCTAGAATGTGCTGTACAGTATCAGGCAATGGGTTAATGCTGTTTCTTCCCTGCTGAGCTCTGACCTGCCATGCAGGGGCATAGCTAGGAGCCAGGACACATGGGCTGTAGCTAGCCTTGCTCTGGGGAGGAAGAGGGCTAGGAGTGGTGCATTCTGGGATGCTGGAGGACTGCAAATTCCTCATTTTATCTCCATGGAGCAGATTGAAGTTACCCAAACATGAGCTAGATAGCATAGCCCAGAGTTAATCTTCACCTGAAGTGGCATAAATTTGAGATTCTCAGGGAGCACTCAGCATGAGTTATTGAGCTATAACATGCAGATGCTCATGTTTTAAGCACCCTTACTATGGCCGAAGTGTAATGTGTAACTTCACCTTAACAGTGTTGAGCACTGAGACTTCCTCCATTTCCTTTCAGAGATTATTCCATAGAATCACATCACCCTAGCCTAGACCCACTGTATTGGACCTGGCTTCTGGGCTC